TTAGCCCTTGTACGCTAATTAGCTAACTACTAAGCTACCTAAGACTTTATCTATCTAATTTTATCTTGCTATTCGGCGCTAGTAGTACCGTTAGCCGCTATAGTAGATCTAGAGGCTTGCTTTCCCGATATATCGTCTTCTTCCTCCTACTATAACTCCGGTAGTAAGCTAAGTATCGAGCTACTAGATACTAAGGAGCTCTCGCGAGGTTTAAGAGGTAGATCGTCTTTACGAAAAGAGCCGAAATTCTTAAAAACGTTACTTATTAGCGGATTGATTTTAAACGGCTCCCTACGTCTATTAGGCTTAAATTAACCTAAATTCTCCTCTTCGATTAAGCGACGAACGCTCTACTTCTCTAGTCGTAGAGGGATATAAGCCTTACGGCGACGCGGCTAATTCTCGCTAGCGGCTAAATCCTCTTTAGTAGACTTAAGGTGTTCCGCTAGCTACTATGCGAAATGCGGGCTATCCGTCTAGTACGAAGTTAGGCGATATACTTATCGTATAGCGGAAAGCGATAAGGAGTTGTCGTTAACCTACGAACTAATAATTTCTACGCGCGTTTACGGCTTAGGAGTTGCTTCTTTGTTCGTATCTAGAATACGAGACTATAACCTTAGGCGGCGTAGAGGTTTAGCCTCTTCCAGATCTTCGTACTACTCCGTAATAGCGATAACTCTATATCTGAGATCTCCCTTAAATAACTTGCTTAGGTACTATCTTAATTTTAAGAAGGCAAGTAGCGTATAGGCTATATAGACTAAGTAGTACCTATCTTCCTTTAATTCGGGAAGAGTGCAATCCTCCTAAGCTATAGGCGGCGGATCGTTTGGAGATTCTTAGGCCTTCGATGCTATAGGCCCTTTTATTAAGTTATCGATTAAGCTTGTTCGTTAAGCGACGAAGCGGCCGCCGTTACGATATCTACCGTAGGTACGAGCGTAGCGCCTACCGTATAAGTAGTCGGAACCTTCTACTTATTATAGTATTAGAGAGCGAAGTTAGGAGGCTTAGCCGACTAGCTCTTACTAACCTAAAGATAGCGGTCCTTCCCTTAGCGAGTAAGGGTATTAATAGAGAGAGCGTAAGGCGCGCGACGGCGCTAGGCTAGGTCTATAGTCGATTTCCGAAGTAATTCGGCTAGTAGATCTCGTATGTTTTATACTAAGTACTATCTCTTTCTTTGTAGTTCGACTACGGCGTTTAATAGTACGGAAAGAAGTATTAGAGTAGTTTAGTAGGATTCTCTCTCGGCGCGGAGGACTTTCGCCTTAGGAGAGGGAAGTAGTAAACCGCAGTTCGAATAGTTCGTTTGAAGACGGTTAGTGCGCCTTTTACGCTAATACTCGAAGCGAAGCTACTTCAAGCTACTATTTTGTTATACATCTATTTTATAAAGGTTAATAATTATTCTAAGTCTATCTACGCTTAGAGAAGTATATACTATAGGAGCTTATAGTAGGAGCCTAAGGAACTATCTTGCCTTCGTAATACTATATAATAAGCAGAAGCGCCGCAAGCGAGGCAAGAAGTTGTTTAAACAAGTAAGGGCAGAAGAAGGCTCTATTTCTATATTCTATAGCTCTTCTAAGCTACTAAGAGCTAAGGAAATATAGCAAGAGAAGGAATAATAGAAGGAGGCGGAGGCAGCTCGTAAACAAGACAAGAAGGTATAGAAGGTACTTAAGAAGCAATACCTACTTAGTATTAAACAGCTAAAGGCTATATAACGATAACTAGAGGCTAAAGAAAAGAAGGCAAGACTTACTAGGGAAGCCTATAAGAAGGAGATAAAGAAGGTAAATAAATAGGCCGCTAGACAGCTAAATACTAACCTATAGGAGGTTATTAAGAAGGCAAAGAACCCCCTCCGGCGTACTATCTTTAAGCAACCGCCTAAGTAAGACGTTATAGTATCTCTAAGCAAAAAAGCTAGTAGTTCGGCTTCTAGCAAACCTATACGTATTATATAGCTTGTAGTACAATATAGGACATAATCTCTATATTAGATTAAAGAGCGCTTTTAGCGCTTTTGTATATACTAACAATTTCTATAATCTAACTATTATTAAGTAAATGCGACCGCATTAAATACATATAGTAAAACCGTACGCTAGTACGCTACTATACGGCAGGCGGGAGTATACGGCAGGTAGGGAAGACTTCTAAAGCGTATAAGCGATAAGCGAAGAGATAGTATTAAACTAGACAGTAAGAAATAGCTTTAGTAGGCGTACGAGTACTTATAGGCTAAATTTAGTAGTAGAAGTAGCTACGTAGAGATAATTTAGTCTCGTAGAAGTAATAGAAAGCTATATAGAGGCCCTATATAGGTAGCGTACTAGTAACTTCGAGCCCCCCGCAACCGTAACTGTAGGTCTTTGTTCTTACTAGACTCTAGGCATCTAACTAATAAGCTAAAATAGCCTCTCTCGACTATATATATCCGTAATAGCTATTTAGAGTAGCTTCTAGCGGCTTACTTCCTTATAGACTATAAACAAGTATACCTAATTAAGAAAGCGATTTCTAGGCTTAAAGAAATAGCTAAATTAGACTATAGTCGTAAGGTTAGCGAATACGATAGATATAGGAAGCACTTCTGCGTTAACGACGGCTATTCTGGTAAAGCTAAAGATTAAGACGATTTAAACTGGACTAAACAGTCTTCTTAGATAGCGCTATAGTCGATTACTAATAACTTAGTAAGTAAGCAACTCGGTATAGCTTAAGGCCTCTCAGATAGCGGCATTGTTTAACACCTCTACTAACGCTATCTCGTTAAAACCCTCGAAAAGCACCTCAAGCGCTTTCCGGCTGTTTTAAAAGTAATAAACAAGGCTCTATCTATTGCTCGAGACTAAGAAGAATGCTAATACTTTATTAACCAAGCAATAGTAGCCCTCAAGTCCTACAAGAATACGGTCACAGCCGCCGAAGAGTTAGCTTATCTAAAGGCAAATTAGAAGGCTTCCGAAAGCGATCGCTAGGCGACTTAGTTACGCCTTAGAGACTTAATTTTAATAGCCGTTTGCACTACTAGCCTACTCGAGGGCTATTATATATACTTAAAGCGCCGAGACAAGCGTTAGATATATAAATAGAGCTTGCGAGGTACGTATTCGTCCTATTCTTATAGTATTATTAGAATTTATACAAAAGCTATATTTTTTAGAATAAGAGAATTTCTTAGTATAGCAGCTTTTAGTATTATTCTTACACTTTTATAGCTTCTTAGCTCTTCTATATAATAACAACTAACTGTTATAGGCATTGTTCTATACGTCGTTTAGCTTAATAGCTATATCCGCGACCGAGTCCGTTAAAATAGCGTAGTTAAGAAGTATAGATAGCTTCTAATATAGCGGTAAAGTAAGACTATCGAATTTAGGCGCTTATCTCTTATAATATAGAAGAAGTTAGCAGATTGGCTTATATAGTGCTATACCGATATTAATAACTATAAGCCTACCTAGCGGATAGTACTGCCGGCTCTATACGATAATATATATAGTAAGTGCTTCTACTACTTCTAGTATAGCTATTACCTGCCTTATAAGTATATTTAGCGCTTCTATATCTAAGAAACGAGTGTTCTTATACTAGAACGTTACCGGCTCTGTATTAGTCGCTTCTAAGGTCTAAATAGCAATCTAATCTACTCTAAATGGTATTAGACTAAGCTAATTATAGACGACGACAATTAATTAAGCCTAGTAGGTACTATTAAGGTCTATAAGGCACTAGGAGTATTACGAAAGCGCTAAGTAAAGGACTACTTCTATTCTATATAAGAATTAGTCTTGTAGGCTTTCTTCCGGTTCTACGACTCGTAGGCTTCTAACCTAACCGACGCTTAGTAATATAAGGCCCTTCTATAGTAGGTTACTAACTTCGCTTTAATAAGCTATAACTTAATTAACGCGTGTGTGCAATAGCAGTTTAATAACAGCTGTTAGGAGGCCGAGTTAGTATCTCGTCGTACCGCTAGATAGCGAGGTATAGATAATAGGCTATTACGTTAATCTATCTTCCGGTTAAAGCTATTATTAATACTACCTAACTTAGTTATAGCTGCTTCTAAAGGTTTAGAGGTTAGTAAAGCAATAATAACTAAGCCTCCGATTAGGCCTTATATCTTAGCTAACGGCTATACGCTACAGGCCTACAGCCTACCTAACTATTACAGCACTACAGAGGCTAGCGACTTGCTTATTTGGTTAGACAACGACGCTCTATACAAGGCAGACAGTAAAGACGACCTATTCGACAGCCTATTAGACACAGACCTCCTACAACCTATACTACTTAAAGCTAGTCGACTCGAGAGTAGTCGATTGCCGCTATCTTTACTAAAGGACGCTAGTAAAAGTAATTAATATGATAACGACAAGGCATTAAGGTATTAATAGCCGTTACTATCGTCCTTACTAGACGATTTGCCCTTACTAAGTAAGCTGTTTCTACCTTCTATAGTAGAGCTACTATCTATAGTAGAGCTACTATCTATAGCTCTATCTATAGCTCTATATTTATTACCTATTCTATTATATACTAGTAAAGACACTTTAAGTTTACTTAATCTACTATAGCTAATAGGTAGCTCTTATAAGCCTCGTCGTCGTTAGAAGCCCTTAATTAGTAAGCTAGTAATATCTTCGAAACGCGCCTACGGAAGATTATATATAGATATACTATATTTACCGCCCTATATAGATTAATCCTCTCGTAAGCTATCTTCTGTACTAATTAGGCTACTAAAATGATAGATCTAAAGAGGAGTTATCGCTTCTAAGCGGTAGTAATAGTACTACTAAGGTATAGTCGTAGACTTAGTCGTTTTCGAGCGATTACGGCTATTCGGAACAGCAGAAATCCGAGGTAATTAGCTTTTATAGGGGTGATTTGCAACACCCCGATTTGTATACTAATTTACGTAGTTTTAGGGCACTTTGCAGGGTCGTATAGAACCCTCGAGGTGCATGTAATTTGCTTTCTTAGTTGATCTGCTTGCATCTATTATTGCGCTTTGCCCTTCAGTTGGACGCAATTTAGCATATCCCGACACTCTTTCTCGATTTGGCGTCCGGCTGCGTTGTTTAGACAGGCATCCTAAGTTTTTTTGTTGTTCCGCATCCCTAAGGTTTGTTGGTTTTTAAAATGATTACTCCCTCCTCCTCTCCTCCTCCTCCTCATCCTCCTTCCCTCCTCCTTCCCTCCCTCTGATTTTTCTCAAACAACATGCGGTCCCTCATTATTATCGCCAGTACCACCTTCGCTCTCACAACATCAGCACTCTATACCGGAGACAAATGCGACTGCTTCCAACTCGCAAACTGCAAGAAGGACAAAGCTTGGGGATGCGTACTCATTAACCAAGGACGCACGAAGCTAGGAGCGGCGAATTGCGTCGATCAGACCAAGGACACCTCGTGCGATGAACCGTGCGGTGCTCTAGGGTATGATTGGGCCTACCACAAGCATAAGTGAGCGCGTAACCGTACCGAGTGTTGTTTGTATTCGTTGCTGAATAATGGCTAGCTCCGGCGATACATCATGTGTTTGTAGTTTCTCGGATGCGGCGACGCATAGTTATAGTCCGGCTTGTGGGTAGAAGGAGCTTCAAGACTCTTCTCCGTCTTCAGGTCTTGCAAAGCGACTCAAACAGCATCGAGGCACATCATTTAAGGAGTCGGGTATTATGAGGATAATCTTAGTACTTCTTCGAAGACCAAGTACCAACTTATCAGCTTCAAGGTCAAGCGAGTCGAAAATAACACGACGCGTGAAAAAGTATACAATCCTCACTTCAATAGGAATACACGCTAGGCTCTCCATCTGGGTGAAAATTTATCGCCTTCACTATCAAAACTGCTCCCGTTTTTCTCCTGTGTCACGAGAACCACATCGTAACCCTAGCAGCTTGTCACAAGCCTCTGTTCAGAAACGAACGTCGTGGAAGTGAAGAGTTGGAACCTCACCTGAAGCAGCAGAAAGTCGACTGCGCCATTGAACGCTCGACATGCGGCTTGACTTGAATGGACGATGTTAGCATCCCAACGATGGGCCAAGCAATCTCGTCTGCGCTCTTGGTTGACGAAAAGAGATGGTAGCGTACTCGTTTCTGAAACCATGCTGCCGTCGCGGATCACCGAAAAGTGATGGCTCCTTTTCTCACCTCAAACATCTTCCAACACAGAAGCTCTCTCACCGACCTCGCAAAGTGACTTCACTAACTCCGTCTCTCCTTAGGCAGAGAAGGGAACTGATTAGCGTGACCTTACATCGCTCGCCTTCTCTATACATATCCTCTTGCTGTCTCTAATCAGACCCTAGCTTCTTTTTTGCCTAACGAAGCGGTATCCGAAACAAAACAAAAGCTACCTATTACAGACAATACTAAATAACTGCTCCCTCTTTACTTTATATAGCTCGGTGCCGAAGATGCCGCTCTTAATGCTAGTCCTAATCTCTAAGCGTGCCTACCCGGTCTAGTCGATATAATTATATATAGCTAGTTATATAAGACGCGATAGTAACAATTAAGCCTATAACTATTTAGTATATTATTATAGCGCATAGTAGAGGGTCTATATCTATTATATAAGTACTAACCCGAAACCGTACTATATAATTACTAACTAAATACTAAAATAATTATAAGAAGGGTATATTAGTAGGTAGATAGGGTAGTAGTAGGTACAGGTAGTATTCGATAAGGAGCTAGGAGGAGAGGGAGGAAGGCAGGCAAGTTAGCCTATTGCTAAGCGCCAAGCCCTGCCTAAGGCACTAAGACCCTAGCTTTACTTAGCCTAGTTATATACTAATTACGTATAGCCTCTTTAGCCCTAATATACGCTTCCCTTCTAAAGGCCGCGCCCTCGTAGCCTGTCTATAGTCTACGACCTCTATTGCCGCTAACTTAGCAAGTCTAATAAGCTGCTTAGCCCGCGCTAAATTAAACACTTAACTACCTAATTATATAACTATATTAAACCTTACCTCCAAACAACACAATGTATAACTCTAACTGCGCTATCTCTATATATAATAAACTATAAAGTAATATGTATCTATAAGAATTAAAGGCCTTCGACTAATTATAATACGAGCGCGTCTTCCCTACTATAATAGGTAGACGTACGAGGTATTGCAGCACTATCTCCGTTCTAAGTAATGTCGTATCGAGTTCTTTGCGTCTACTCTTAAAAGACCTAGTAATATCCGCTTCCGAGGGTTTATCCGTTCCGAGGGTTGTTCTTATTGTTACGAGGGCTATTATTTACTGTCGTAGTTTTACTAGCCCTAATTAGTTAGGTTTGGCAGCCTTTAAGTGTTAACTAATTATATCTTTTCAAAAAACTCAGTTCTTCTAGTTTCTATAGGTAAAGGCTATTATAAGTACAGTAGTAGAGGTTCGCCTCGCTTAAAGGGTTAGATAGATCGAGGAGTAACCTATTGTCCGCAAGATCGACCCTAGCTAGCTTAGCTCTATAGTTTTGCCCTTAGTTAGTTAGTCTATTAGTCTACTTAATCTTTTAAGCGGCTTAAAGTTTTAACTTAGCCTTAAAGTTTTGATTAAAGTTTTAATTAAGAGTGCCTTAGGCTCGTAGTATAGGTAAGGTTGTGTCTATAGGCGTAGTAACAATAGTAAGTAATGTTAATAATAGCGGCGCTAGTCGTCTTAGCGCTAACTTTACCTTCTTCTAATTTCCTTCTTCGACTAATAATATACTCCGTAACACCGTTACTAACATAGCCGCGTTAGCCGCCGGCATACTACTAGCTCGTAGCGCGACACTATTACCTTTATTACCGTTATTTGTACGCGCGCGTACATCGCCCTTGTCGAACGCTTAGGTCTCGAGGCCTCGCTAGAATAAAGAATAAGAGAGGGACCTATAGGGCGCATTAGTAAAGAGGTAGAATCCTCGAAAGAGCAGTCGATTAGTTAATAGTTGTAGCGCGTTTGTTAACGCTCGGTACGTATCCGTTATCGTAGTGTAGTCTTGTTGTTCTTTGCTAACAATTGCTTGCCTCTAATTAGTTAGCTTAATAGTACCCCGGGGGTAGCATTATTCCTAGGCGACATTATAGGCCCTTAGCCTTCTTCTTATTCTTTACACTAGTCTAATACTTATCTAATAACTTAGCTATATCCTTAAAGGAATCTTTAGCCTCCTATAAGTCCTATTCTAGTAAATAGCCCTGCTATCTTAGTAGGTACTCCTTCTTGCCTTACTTAGTCTAGTGCTTTAGGATGCGTTCTATAGACTATAGCTCTTTACTATTAGCCAAGACTTCTTCTAACTCGGTAGGCGCTTTATCGCCTTTACGCTAGTAGTATAGTTTAAGGAGGGATACGTAGAAGGTGTTATAGATAGTATAATAAGGTAGAAGCTACAACTAATAGGCCTATGCGGAGGAGCCCTTAACTTCTCGAATGCGGAATAAGCCAATGTATCTTAGTACGAGCTTAGGCCTTGTTTTGCTATTAGGTAATAGGTGTTTACGGATGCGGAGGTTCTTCGTACTTAGCATAACTATATCGCCTTGCTTAAAGGTTATTAGCGTATAGTGTTTGTTATAGTAGGCCTTCTAATAGGCCTAGGCCTTTGCTAGTTTATTAGCTATCTTAGCGTAAATTTCTCGTATCTTTTAAACCCTCTTAATAGCTGCTAGTGTCTCTAGTACTTAACGCGCTTCCCTTTCCTTACGCTCGGCCTCGAGCGATAGTAGGTCTTGTAGTATAGCAGCATTCTAGCCTATTATAGCTATATATAGTAACACCTTAGTCGATAAGTAGACACTGTTATTGTATACGAATTCAGCTAGTTGCAGGAGGTTAACCTAGTCGTTAGGGTTCTCGTTAATGTAACTGCGCAGGTACTGCTATAGAGTAGCATTCTGCCTCTCTATTTAACCGTTAGTCTATAGATAGAAGGCTATTAATAGCCGATGCTTTAGTCTTAGCTACAAGCAAATCTCGCTCTAATAGTAAGATATTAGTGTCGATCTACGATCGGACACGATCCCCTTAGGGGTTCCCTAATAGGTATAGAAGATGTTAGTCTATAGCGCCTCTGCTATATTAATAGTAGTCTAATCCTTGCGCGCCGGGATGTATCGAGCGCCTTTAGTAAATCGATCTACTATAATAAGGATAGTATTATATACATCCTTGCTGCCCCTACGCTTAGTAGGAGGAAGGCCTATAATAAAGTCTATTATAAGCTTAGCAAACGGCTTCCTAGGAACAGGAAGTAAAGACAACTCGCTAAATAGTAAGTGCTTTAGTGCTTTAACTCGCTAGCATACTGTATAGGTCTATATATACTCCTTTATATGCCGCTTACTATTTGGCTAGTAGTATATGCGCGATAGTAACTCGTGCGACCTCTCTATACTATAGTAACTAGCGAGTTTACTATTGTGGTGCCTCTTTAAAAGCTCTTATCTAATCGATTGTTTAGCGGGGATATAGTATCTGCCCTTAAACTTTAAGTAACCTTTATCGTCGATCGACTAATTATTGTTACTCTTACTAGATCGAGTCGCCCGTCTACTTACAAGCTTATTAATACGCTCGACAGCAAAGGCGTCCCTCTACTAAGTATGTAATAGCTTATCTATAAACGATTAACTATCCCTATTTGCAAGGTTATTTAATAGCACCCTCGCTATTAAACGAGGTACGTATTATATATATCTAATAGCACTAGTAGCCGGAACTACTGCAACCTCTTCTATAGTACTGTCGCTATATAGGCTATTACTATAGATAGCAATGTCTTCAATCGAGTTATTATAGCTCGAGCGATCTACGTCCTTTCTTTTAACGTATACTAGAAGAACGACAACTCCGCTATAGTATTTATTGCCGCCGCGGGGTCCGGAAGTCCGCTTATCCTACGCTTGCTTATTAATAATACGGGCTATAGCAATCTTATACTACAAGGTTAGAAACAAAGAATTAATATATTAGGTCTCGCTATCGTAATTAGGTCGCCTCGATAGGCTATTAGCAGGGTTGCTTACGCCTAGCCGATATAATACATTAAAATCAAACCTAGCGAGGTAGACGGCCTATCTAGCCTATCGACCTATAACCCTAGTAACCTTAGTAATGCTACGGAGGTTGTTATAGTCTGTATAGACCTAAATAGTGTGCTATGTACTATCGAGGTAGTGCCTTTAATGCTTAAAGGCCTCGATAATAGCTAGGAGCTCTTACTTGTAGGTCTCGTAGCGACGCTCTATATCGATCATTTTTCGTAAAAAGAAGGCAATCGGGTGCTAATAGGTGTTATTAGCCTATTGTAATATAATAGCTAATATAGCGAACTGTAAAGCGTTAGTCTTAATTCGGATCTGCTTGCTTAGTACGAAATAGTGCAACAAGGGGACTTTAGTAAAGCGTTGCTTTAGACCGTTAAAAGCGGCTTATGCTCTATTAGTCTATTTGAACTCTCTAGAAGGGTTAGCCTTAGTTTTAGTAAGTTTAGTTAGGGGTATTATATACCGTAAATAGCTCTTAATAAAGCGGCGGTAGAAATTAGCGAAGCCGAGGAACGATTAAAGCTCCTTAATAGACGTAGGAATAGGCTATTTAGTAATTGTTTTAATCCGGTTAGGGTTAGCCTTAATACCCTCGGTTAATACGAGGAAGCTAAGGAAGGACACCTCTTTAGTAGCAAAGGTGCATTTAGAAGGCTTGTAATATAGGCTATAGGCCTATAGGCGGTCGAGGACTTTACGTACTATAGCCTAGTACTCTACAATGTTAGGTAAATAGGTGTAGACTAGGATGTTATCTAGGTAAACTATACAGAGGTAGTCTAATAGACCTAATAGGGCCCGATTAATATAGGACTAGAATGTTATAGGGGCGTTCGCTAGCCTAAATAGTATAACTAAGTACTCGAAATAGCTATAGCGGGTACGGAAGGCTGTTTTCTATTTATTACCCTTACGGATGCGGATGCGATAGTATACATCCTTAATATCTAATATAGTATAGTAGTAAGCGCTAGAAAGGCGATCGAGGGTCTCGTTAATAAGCGGAAGTAGATAGCGGTCTTTAATAGTAATAGCATTAAGTCTACGGTAATTAATACATAAACGTAGGCCGCTATCCTTCTTTAGTACGAACAGGATAGGTGCACTAGTAGGGCTGTTGCTATACCGAATTCGACTATTAGCTAAGTTTTCCTCTAGGTACTTACGTAATATAGCAAGCTCTCGTTTACTAAGGTTGTAGAGGGGGCTAAAAGGAACCTCCTTACCCTCTATAATATTAATCTTATAATCCGTCTCTTTAAATATAGGCAATATCGATGCTAGGTAGTGTTTAAATACATTAATATAGGTCTCTCGGATAGGCTCTAGTATGCGAGCAAGCTAATTAGGATTATTAGGGGCTATAGGTTTATCGTTATTACCGCCGAGCAAATCGGCAGTCGGATTAGCTAAGGCGGAGGCTAGTGTTAGGTTGCTAATAAACAGGACCCTAATATCGTTAGGGTACTCGCTAATGTTAATGTGTTTAATATCCTCTTTCCTAGCGATTCTAAATCGCTATTATTAACTGCCTAAGTCTATTACTATAGCATAGTACTTAAGAACAGGGTTGCTAATAACAATATCGGATAGGAGGCTGTCTATGTCTACCGCGTAGGCAGTAAAGTTTAGTAGGCGTTTATTTCCGAGGTCGTCTTTTAGAACTATAGGAACATAGTAGGCCCTATAGGTTAAGTGCCGAGCGTTATTAAACCAAGTAAGGACTAGCATGTTAGTCCTAGGCAATTGTCGGAGGTCTAATTGCTTAGCTAAGCGATAGTTAATAAGGGCGCTAACTGAATTTCCGGGGTCTAGTATAACCTTTGCCTTATAGTTAGTATCGGGCCTAGATATAAGACAGGTACGTATAATAGCTAGCACAATGTCGATAGTCTTACGCCGTACAAGGCTAATAGTTAGTGCGGCGCTTACTCTTTTTTCGAAGGTTAGCCTATAGGGGTAGCGTTAGCCGCTAAGAGGTGCTTTCGGTGTTTAGCGGAAGCACGGTTAATTCGGGCCTAGTCCTTAGGTTTGTCGTATTAGCCTAGTAGATAGCTAGTGCTATTACAATTAAAGCACTTTAATCCGGTTAGTAGACTACCGTAGCTGTTATTGTTAGTTAAGCGGTTAGCGTTATAGGGATACGAGCCCCTTCTACGGCCCCTATCGCGGCCTCCTCTATATAGTCGCCGGCTACGGCCCCTTCTACGGTCGTTGTTACTATTCCTACTGTTAGCATTGTTGTCTTAGTAGGAACCTTAGTTTCCTCCGCGGCTACTACGATTGCCGCGGTTAGTACTAGCTAGCCGGATCCTCGATTCTAGTTATTATTAAAGCTAGACAGCTCGTTTAGCTGTTTCTACCTCGACTATAAATTAAATACGTATTAGGTTAGCCTGTTTAAATACACGGCGACGGTCTAATTCGAGGATAAGCTCCTATCTAAGTTTTAGGCGTATCTCGGAGATCTATATAGAATTAGTCTTAGGCGGAAGGTCGTTTTTAAGGGTTTTTAAATAGGCCTCGAATAAGCGAGCCGATTGATTAGTCTTCTATTTAGCTCGAAGATATAGGTCCTAAGTATATTGTTGCCTTAGTATAGGGTTTCTAAGGGTATCTAGTATAATAGTTTTATAGGTCTGCTACTAAACAGCAGTCTAGTTATTAAGGGAGTCGAAATAGTTATCCTATATGCGCTTTAGGTCGCTATTGATGTACTGTATAGCGTAGACAACTAGTAAATAGTCGTCTAGAAGAGCCCTCGGCGCATTTCGCTAGTTAAGCTCGCAATTACGTATATAATCGTTGTATTGCTTGCGACTAGAGCCGTTAAACACGGTACAGTCCTTAAGTTTAGCATCCTTCTTTTAGATAGGTAGTAAAGAAGGTCCCGCTATTAGTTTAGTTATCGGGGCTTCCTAAAGGCGACGGAGCTCGAGGAGATTATCCTTTAGCTGTTATTCTTAACGTAGGGCAGTAAGCCTGTTTTAAGTAGCTTCTTAAAGTCTCCCTAATAGTTAAGGGCTAAAGGCTAGTTAGCTATATCGACGGTTAACAATATTGCTAAGGATATCGTTAATAGGCAATTCTAGATTATTACCTAGGACTATAGGTTCTTCGGTAGGCCTAGTAGTAGGCTCTTTAGTAGGAGGCACTTTAGTAGGTGCTTTAGTAGGCACTTCAATAGGTACTTCGGTAGGCACTATACTACTAGTATTGTTATTGCTAGCGCTACTAGCGGCGCCGCGGTTGTTGTTTCGTAATAAACCGGCTATTATAATAAGGGGTAGTACTAATAATGTATTATTAGCCCCTAAGATGCGAATATAGCGGAATTAGTAGATATCGGTCTAGTATACTTAACTTAGTATAATAGGCCGTATAGAAGGCCTTGCTTAATAATTAGTACGGTTGTTTCGATAGAATAGTACGTATAGGTCCCGTTCTTCGGGCGTAATATAGTTAGATTAGTCTTGTTCGTAGCTATACCGCTAAAAGCTTGAAATAGGGACTATCTAGCTGCTACCCTTAAAGGGTAGATTGAATACTATATAAGAAGGGTATATTAGTAGGTAGATAGGGTAGTAGTAGGTATAGGTAGTATTCGATAAGGAGCTAGGAGGAGAGGGAGGAAGGTAGGCAAGTTAGCCTATTACTAAGCGCTAAGCCCTACCTAAGGCACTAAGACCCTAGCTTCACTTAGCCTAGTTACATACTAATTACGTATAGCCTCTTTAGCCCTAACAATAATATACGACTAGGTCTAGTTACTATAAGATCTAAATGTCGCTAAGTATACTAAGGACAAGGCTAGACAAGATTGCTACTAGGACGGTTAAACTAAATGTCCTAGCTATAGAATCCGCTAGAGCCGGTTCCTTAGTAGAACCTAAGGTATCTATAGAGGCCGCTTCTAGAAGGAGATAGTCCTTTTATATAAGTACTTACTTCCTCCGATACCTATAATCTATTATTCTTACCTACGCGCTCTACTATCTCGTTAAGCCTACGACTCGGAGCGTTAAGAACTAATCTTATAAGCTCTTATCTCCGTTATTATCGGAAATATCATAATACTCGATAATAATATAAGCTCTTACGATACTTCCTTACTATAGCTATTATATAAGTTATTATTATAGATAATTTAATTATAATTATATAGAAGGGAAGGCTAATTATAGGAGGTAACTATTTCCTCGATTAGTTAGCTTATCCCTATACCCCTTCCTTTCTATTAGGCTATAATAGCGCTCTATTCTCTTAGAAAGCCTGTAAGAGTTCAAAATAATCCCTAGTACCCGCGACATTATCCTATTATAGAAGCGTAATATTATTAGTATAAGCTCTCGGTATATTCTCCCTTCATATCGCTCTATTATCTTCCCGATTCTATAACGCTCGAAAACCAACCCTAGCAGCTCCAACTACCGTTAACCGATAAAGCCTACGACGATGTAGGTGACCTGTTAGTATGCTCACTTGCCATGTCACTCCGATATCTGAACTGCGCTGCGAGGCCCGCAAACATACCTCAGCAGCATCGACTCAACAAGGTCTCAGAATCGAAAATCAATCATGAAGTAAACAAATTCCATTTTTCACCAACTCAACCCTCTCAGGGAGTCAAAGCTACTCAACACCACAGAAAGTCTGCTCAAGACCAGCCAACTCAACCCTTTCAAGGAGTCAAAGCCTTCCTTCGCATAATTAAAAAGCCCATAATCCATTCGTTGTACTGTCGTTCCTCCTTCCTTCTTATGCAAAACTCCATTCCATGTGCGAAACTCAAAATGCAACTTTTTCCCTTTTATCCCTTCCTTCAATGCTTAAATGCCGTTGGTCATTGGGACTTCATCGGCAGGCGCGGTAATAATGCTGAATTGGCCGCCGGTGGTAGCGCCGTTGAGCTTCTTTTCCCGGACGGCGGTGTTGTCAATCATCGTGGCGACTTTGACGTCGTCGTCTGTGCCTTGACCAGTCTGGTAATTGGCAGAGAAACCCCAAGACCAGGCCTTGCCCTGCTTGGTGATGACAATGTTGTGGTCGGACGCGGCTGCGACGTGTGTGACGGCGCCATCGATGGCGGGGACCTTGTATGGCTGCGCGAGAATGCGCGGACGATCTTTCTCGTCCTTGATGATGGCGGCGCCGGTGAGACTGTCGATCTCGCTCTGGGCAATACCCGTTTGAGATCCGTCAATGCGACCCCAGATGAGGCAGTCGCCTTCTTCGGTAGCGGCGAGGGAGTGATGACCACCTCCCTTAATGGTGGTGATGTTCTTCCCCTTTAGGGCTGTGACGACCCGTGGGTTCATGATTACTGCATCGTCTTGGCCGGCATTGTCCATGATGCCTGTCTCGCCAAAGTTATTGAGACCCCATGCGTACACATCGCCTGTTCTTGAGATTGCGAAGCTGTGGTACGCTCCTGTCGAGATCGAAGTGATGCCCTTCTTTGGGCCTTTTGGCAGACCAAATTCTCGCGGGATAAGACCTTCCGCTTTGGTGCGCTCTACTATGCGGCGACCAAGTTGGTTTTGCTGGCCGGAGCCCCAGGCGTATACAGCGCCTTTTGTGTCCATTGCAAGGGCGTGATTTGCGCCCGCTCTTATTGTGGTGACATTCTTGAGGTTCGAGATGAGGACTGGTCGAGTTGCGACTTTGTGCTCAGGAGTAAAGCCGAAGATACCGTCGTTACTTCGGAACGTGCCCCAACCGTAGACTTTGCCATCATCTGTGAGGACGAATGAGGTAGAATCGCCTGCTGCAACCTCAACAAAGCGCGTGCCCTCGGCCAGCTGAGTCTGTGACCAATCGACCTCCCCTGGTGTGCTCTCCTTGGGGTTCAGGCCGTTGTCGTCTCCACTCTCGGAGTCACTGTCCGATGCGTTTTCGTCCATGTCTTTGAGTCCACCATCCCATGTGGTGTCTCTACCGAGTGTGCCTTGATCGTTGACACCCCATGTCAAGATCTTGTTGTCTTTTGTGAGCGCGATTGCGTGCATGCCACCAGCTTCAATCTGTACGACTCCCACATCTTTCGCGCTGAGATTCGGGTTAAGGCGTGGTCGCTTGACATCAACGCAGTTCTTTGCGGTGCCGAGGCCGAGCTCGCCTGCGGTGCCTTCGCCAAAGACGTAGACATTTAGTGGTTGTGTCGGCGGCTCCTTCAGCACAGGTCCCTTCACGAGAACCTTGACTTTCTTTGCTGGGGCGGCGGGTGCTTCGCCATCTGCCTTGCGCTTACGAGAGGCTTTCGGTGCGGGAGCTGCTGGCTCGGTCGAGCTTGCTTTCTTGGTAGTAGTGGTCTTCTTTGTGGCTGTAGCAATGTGTAAGCGATTCATTCCATCAATGAAGCAGAGGGGCATCGAGGCGCGTGAAGGAGACATGTTTGCTGCCGCGCAGCTGGACAAACCCAGACGCGTCGAGCGGGCGTATTTCCATGATATAGGGGGACAATGACTTACTCTTCGCCTTTGTGGCAGTCTTCTTAATCTCAGCCTCTCCATCAGTCTCAGCACTGTCTGAGGCTGCAGACTTCATTGCGCGGCTGGTCTTTGCTGTGCCATTGGTCTTCGCGGCGGCTGTCTTGCCTTTGGCGCCTGACTTTGTCGCAGCTGCTTTGCCTTTCGGCGCTGGTTTGGTGATCTTGGCCTTGGTGTTGGCCTTTGGCTTGTCGGCCGCGTCTTTTGCGCTGGCCTTTGCGGCGGATCCTCTCTTTGGAGGCATGGCGTCTGCTTCTGGCTCTGCCGCTGGCTTTCTGGCTTTGATGTATTTGATTTGCGCCACTGAAGGTACAGATGTCAGTCGAGTCCAAATTTGGTAGCTGAGTTGAGCCAGCAACGGACTTTTTGAAGCTATGAAGCTGTGGAATGTGAATGCGCTGGCGGAGCAATTCCACGTGCAAGTCGCGTGTATGGCTGCACAAAGCCTGAGAATCACAAGCTCTTGAATCAGTGCAGGTGAAAGCGCGCTCAATCAGTGCAGAGTAGCGTGGTGATGGTGTTATTAGAGAGACGCGTGCGAGAGAGAGCTGTGAGAGACGGATTTGCCGAAGCTTCATCACTCCGGCTAAAATCCGCGCCAACCCAACGCAATCCCGGCCACCGGCCTCAGGCTCCAAGCGTTTGAGGTCATTATGCTCACGACACAACATCAACATGACCATACATGACAGATCCATCGTCGCTTGAGCATCATGGGAGCAGCCTCCATGTCTGAGGTCATACGAGGTATTCAGAGCATTCCTGAGCTGACATACCTCCGCAGGCGTCTGAAGCACAGGCAGCAAGGCAGACACGATTGCCTCTTAGATTCACGCACCGCCGGAATTCACGAGCCATTTGTGACGCGTTAGCTCAATCACATGACAGACACGTGACCTCTTGGCATGAAGAATTTTTACACTGTATTTTAGACTATAGAATAGACTAAGATATAGGCAATTAACGAAGCTAATTTAACCGCCGGTAATATAGTGTTACGTAAGCAATCCACTACGCTATGCGTAATAGTTATAAGCCCGGATTTAATCCGCGGTAATAGAGACTTCTATAGTAGGAAAGAATTTTTTCTATTCTACGAGACTTATAACAATCGAATCGATAGTCTTTACGGTACTATAAATAATAACTATTTAAGCTTCTATAAGCCTCTATAACCGCTTTAAAAGCAAAGTTAGTATGTCCTTAGTAGCCCTCTTATTAGCTAGCCGCCTTAGTAGTAGTAAGTTTATTATCCTTCGTAGACCTAACGAATAGGATCGATAGTTTAAGTAAACTAAGACGTACCTAACTAGATATAAAACCTAGGTTACTAGGCATATAGTTATAGTACGAAGGTATCGTAACGGTTATACGGTATAAAAGTTAATAATTCTCTAAGGTGCCGCGAGGCAAGCTATCTATATAATAGTCCTACTATTAGTAGTAATAGCGACCGTAGCGGTTAATAGTAACCCCTGCCTACTATCGTATATATAATAGTATTATATTGTAATAGCCTCCCCCTCTATAAAAAAGGTCGGCACTGTCTATAGACTTAGTATCCTAAAACAAAGGTCCTTAGTAGGCCGTACTATAGGAAGGTTTAAGGCAAAAGAGCGTAGTAGAGTCGTATAAAGGCTAAGCCTAAACAGTATACTAGAACGGTAATGCTAGGTATAGAATCGTGTCTCTCTAGTAATAACTACGTCGGTTTTATACTTACTTGTTACGACGGTTACGAAGGGCGTCGCGTAAGCTAGTCGGTATAGTCTAAACCGCCTTTAGCTACGGCTAAGGCGCGACGGTCTTTATAGTCTTGTTATCGGATAGCGAGGTATTAACTGCGTCCGCTATAGTAGTAGCGCGGTCTAACTAATCGATAGGGATATTAGGGAAGTCGGTACCTAGTAATAGTAGCGTATCGGTATCGCGTATAGCACTATATAGCTTAAAGTAGTCGGCTATCTATACGTTAAGCTTTGCGATCTTATCTTTAGTAGTATTGCCTTATACGCCGCCGAGTAGCTTAAAAGCGTCCTCGTTAATTAGGTATAGTATAGGGATTGCCTATTACGGCGCGACGTGTAAGAAATCGTAGTAGAGATAAGTTAGCGATAGCGTAAGGGAATCCTTTAAGACCGTAGCGAAAAGACGATACTACTAGGCTATCTAGCGCTTAGTTACTTCGCGGATCTATACCTTAGCTAGTATCTACTAAAGCTAGTATACCTTAGTTGCTGCTAACTCGGACTAGCGTATATAGTAGAGCGCTTGTAAGTTAAGCGTACGTATACTAATTGCCGTTATATTATATTAGTACTATCCGTATACGCCTATAGTGTTTTCCTATAGGGCGGGTAGAGGTAGCAAGCGTATCGGAAGTAATAGGAGCTTATACTATAGCTACGTAACCGTATTATTAGGCGGTAGTAGCTAAGCTGCAACTAGAGCCTTCGTAGGCGTAGAGAATAGGTTAGATAGTAGCGGTATCTTCGATAGTAGGCGAGGCGCTAAGAATAGGCTAGCGGTTAGCTTCTAGCGAGTATTTAACTTAGTCGATAGTAATACGCGCGAGGAATTTAGCTAGATCGCCTTAGTTAGCGGGGCAACGGCCGGAGGTTGCGGCTTAGCCCGAGTCGCGAGCTTCGGAGGGATAATTTTACCGAAAAAGTACGTATTAGTAAGGTCGGTCTCGTCTAGCGAGTAGTCGGGTAACGGTACTAGGAATGTATCTATAGGATCCTAAGTATAGTCGATATTATACTACTAGTAATTCTTATTCGTTACTATCTTATCGTACTTAAAAATAGTATTGCCCTATATAATACGCTCCTAGACGCCTAAAGGATCGAAGACTAGATTAGTAGAGGCCTTCTTCGGCAAATCGTAGAACTATAGCGTTAGCGCGGGCTCTAATCTATTAGGGATAGCGCCGTCCTTAAGTGTCTAGATATAGGCGATAAAGGTAGATAAGGCGTATACCGGATCGATCTAAGTTAGCTAGTAGACTAGGCTAAAGTCTACTAGGCATTAACGGTTAAGGAGTAGTAGAGGCATACCTTTGCCCTTATTAGTAGCATAGGTACCGTTCTAGTAGCGACCGCTACTTATAAGCTAAGCGTACTATTCCGTACGTAACGCATTAGTAGCCTTCGTATCTATAAGCGCCTTATTAGTATAGAGGGCGGATATATAGCCCTCGCTACGAAGCGTATAGGCGTTACGGACTATAACATACCGCTAGGTATAAGCGACGACGTCCTAGGTAATAGCTAGGCGACCTAGGTTGCGATAGTATAGGTAGGGTAGACTACTAGAGTTTAGGGAGGACTCGTACTACTTATAAAGCTATATAGCCGACTAGGTACTAAGCTCTATACCGATTAGTAGTAGCTAAACGGTATAGTCCTTAAGCTAGGAGTCTAGTAGAGGTAGGCGCACTATTAAGAGTCGTCCGGTAGCTACTATCTATAAGAATTAGACTTCGCCGTAGGTAGTTAGGTCGATCTTATAATGCTTTATCGCTCCGACGTGTTTACTAATAGGTCGCTTGCCCGTCTTTTAGTATTCCTTACTATAATCGCGGTAGGAGACGTCCTTGCCGTTCTCGCTACGCTTATATAGGACCGGGTAACTGCCTACTATAATGCTATCGCGATGTTCTTCTAAGACGTAGCGGTCGAACTACTCTCGTATAAGGTTAACTATCTATAGGAAGTATAGGATAGCGCGTACTATAGGACCGACTGCTCTATTGCAAATTAGAGATAGTACTAGCTAGAATCGTAGGTCGCTAGTATAAGTACTTAAGCTAAGGAAATTCTTACGTAAGCGAATAATGTTTGCTAGGAGTAGATATTGCAACTTCGCGTAGTAGAAAGTAATAGTTAGCAGAAAGTTCGCGTTAAGGTTAGCTAATTTAGGGAGCTCCTTTAATTCGCCCGCTGTCGTAAGTACCGCGTACTCGCTAAAGCGTATCGCCTAGATCTCCTACTACGTATCGTAACCGTCCGAGTAGAGGTCGGTCCTAAAGATAGAGTATTTACGGGCGTAATCGTTGTTTACGATTTAGAAGGAGTATAGTTATATAAAGAGTAGGTTTTTAAAATCGGTAACTAGCTTACCTATATACTAATGCAATTCGCGTAGAATCTAGAAGCGCCGATCGCCCGCGGTAAGGTATAGATAGTATAGGTAATGCTAAAGCCTTACTAGATAGTATTCGACGATTCGCTTATATAGGCGTAGGCGAAAGAGATTAGGTAGTCGACCGTCTACGTCCTTAGCGTACGCGTTATATACGAGTTTCGCGGCCTATATAAAGCGTATATCTTTAGTCTTATTACGCTCTATAGGATTAGCGGCGATTAGTATATCGACTTTCTTATTATAGTCCTTGTATTCTACGTACTACCGGATTACCGCTTATTTAGGTATCTCGTTAGTACGAAGAAGACGCCTATTAATTAAAGTCTATCGCGCGCGCTACCCTCGGAGCCGCTATCGCTCGAACTTAAGTTCTTTAGGGAAAGGGTCTAGGTATTCTTCGTATACCGACTCGATCGGAGTAGTAAGCAGCTTAGGAGGAGCTAGCGCGGGCGCTTATAGTAAGCCGTTACTCGGCGCCTACGTTAGGGAGGCTAGTGCCTATAGTAGCGGTAAATCTAGAAGGGTACGCGCTAGCGAAGATAGTAATTTTAGCGAAGCCGGTCGATTTACGGGTATTATTAAGGGTAGTACCGATTCTAAAGCCGAAGGCGTATAAAGAGGCTACGCGCTAACGGGATTAGTCGGGCCGCTTTCCGTACCGTTAACCGGGCTACTAGACGCGTAGGCCGCGGCGTTACGGTAGAGGGTAA